CTAGCCTATTCACTAACTTTTGAGCTCCTAGATGACTACTCATTCTATCTTCTCTCTTCTCAAACCTCCAACAACTCTTTCTCCCATCCTTCCTCTTGGCCAATGACCGTGATTATTTCCTTGAGAAAATAAAAGCAATCAGAAAAGTTCTTCTGGGACTTCCCTGGTGGCGCAGTGGTTAAGAATCCACCTGCCAATGCAGGGGACATGGGTTCGAGCTCTGGTCCTGGAAGATCCCACTTGCCGTGGAACAACTAAGCCCGTGCGCCGCAACTACTGAGCCCATGCGCCACAACTACTGAAGCCTGCGCGCCTAGAGCTGGTGCTCCGCAACAAGGGAAACCACTGCAATGAGAAGCATGCGCACCGCAACAAAGAGTAGCCCCCACTCGCCGCAACTAGAGAAGTCCGCACGCAGCAACGAAGACCCAACGCAGCCAAAAAATAATAAATAAATAAATAAAGTTTTTCTATAAGTAGACACCACCACATACACTCACCTACCTGCCTTCCTGTACCTGTGGATGCTGCTTAAGTACACTTGTGCACTGAAGCCCAACAATTTCCTCTTTTCTCTCCTGCATCATCAAATTTTCTCTATTTTGTCATCCCCATAAGTATAAGAAAATGCTTTAACTTCTATCTTTAAGAAACCTCTCTTAGAGTCTGGGAACAGCAACTCCCACATAATAATGAGCACACCCAGCCCCCAGATCTTGGTTTCTAGAGATTGTTCCCCACTGAAAGAAACCAGGGCTCTTTGGAAAAATGGCTGATTTCAGGGTTGGGTTTGCGAAGATGAATCTTGAACATGTTACACCAGAAAGTATGCACTCGAAAAGAATGATGGAGATTTGTCAAAAGACAAAACAAAACAAAAGCCAGTTTTAAAGGGATCCTACTGGCCAAATCATGGACAATTTGAGCACCAAAGTAAATAATGGTAGTAATGGATTATAAACCATTGAATAAAATAGGACACCATGAGTCCATACTGATATAAATAAATGCATAAATAGAAAGTTTGATGAAAGTGAAATATTTACATAGTTTCAAAGTACCTTCCCACTATGTTCTGTGCTGTTTCTGCTTCATTTCCTCTGACCTCTAAAGAGATGGAGTATCCCAGGGCTTAGGACTCAGACCTTTCCTCTTCTACTCCCTTGGTGATCTCATACAGTCCCCTGGTTTTAAATAACATCCATATACTGATGGCTTACCAATTTATATCTCCAGCCCGGGCTTCTTTTCTGAACTCTAGACTTCTATAACCCACTGCTTACTCCACATTTTCCATTGGATATTGTCCAATAGACATCTCAAACTTAACACATCCAGTACTTAACTCCTGAGCTTCCCTCCCTCAAGTCTGCTCTATCCACAGTCTTTTCCATATCAGTTAATGGCAACTTCTTCCTACCAATTGCTCCAAAAACCTTAGAGTTATCCTTTTATAAAAAAAATTTATTTGGTTATTCATTTATTTTTGGCTGCTTTGTGTCTTCATTGCTGCGTGCAGGCTTTCTATAGTTGCGGCGAGCCGGGGGCTACTCTTCGTTGCTCTGCAGCATGTGGGATCTTCCCGGACCAGGGCGCGAACCCATGTACCCTGCATTGGCAGGCAGATTCTTAACCACCGTGCCACCAGGGGAGCCCCCCTCAATGTAGTTTTGATTTGCATTTCTCTAATAATTAGGGATGTTGAGCATCTTTTCATGTGCCTATTGGCCATCTGTATGTCGGAGTTATCCTTGACTCTCCTCTCTTCCCCACATCAATTACATTAGCAAATCTTGTTGTTTATAGTGCCTCTGCCCTGGAACAGGCCCCCATCTCTCACTGGAATTGCCCAAGAGGCTTTCTTACTGGTCTGCTTCCATACTTGCCCTCTACGGTTTATTCTTATCACTCTCTAATTGCTCCCTGTTTCACTCTGAGTAAAAGCCAAAGTCCCTACACTGGGCTCCAAGACTCCAAGACATGATCACTAAATCCTACCAAATTGGCTAAGAATAAAAAGTTTGATACTGGGCTTCCCTGGTGGCGCAGTGGTTGAGAATCTGCCTGCCAATGCAGGGGACATGGGTTCGAGCCCTGGTCTGGGAAGATCCCACATGCTGCGGAGCAACTAGGCCCGTGAGCCACAACTACTGAGGCTGCGCGTCTGGAGCCTGTGCTCTGCAACAAGAGAGGCCGCGATAGTGAGAGGCCTGCGCACCGCGATAAGAGTGGCCCCCGCTTGCCGCAATTAGAGAAAGCCCTTGCACAGAAATGAAGACCCAACACAGCCAAAAATAAATTTAAAAAAAAATTTGATATTACTCAATGATGTAGAAGATAGTCTCACTTATACATTGTTGACGAAGCGCAATTTGTTAATACCTATAAAAGTTTTTAAATTAAGCATATTCTATAATGCAGCAATTCCATTTATAGGAATTTATCTTATGGAAATACACAAGAGTGGCCAAAGACACATATGCAACGTTCACTGCAGCATTGTCATGGGAAAACACGTAAACATTGCACACCCATACAATGGAAGACCGTGTAGGATAATGGATATTCATGGGCTTTGGAAAGATCTCCAAGATACATTAGTAAGTGCTAAAAGAAGCAGATCAGTAATTATAGAATAATCTCATTGTCTAATAAAAGGTCAACATAAACATACTCTGTGTGTTTGCGTGTGTGTGCATTTAAAAAGCAATTTGAGGGAGCTGTCCCTTAGAGCTATCTGAGAGACTGTCTCCTGGGCTTGAAGTCCTCAGAATGTCCACCGAATAAAACATAATTCTCAAAGAAAAAAAAAAAGTGATTTGAAAGGAATTCCAATCAACTTGGGTTATGTCTGGGGAGTAAGACTGGGAGTTGGAATATGAGAGACTTCCTCTTCCTTATATGAATATTCTATTCAATCTCAATTAGTTTTTAAACCATGAACATGCACTTTTATAATCTATGTCTTTAATAATTACAAAAGAAGGTTTTTAAAAAAGATCTTCCTTACCCCAAGATCAAAGAAATGCTCACCTATACTTACTTTAAATTCATATGTCGGGCTTCCCTGGTGGCGCAGTGGTTGGGGGTCTGCCTGCCGATGCGGGGGACGTGGGTTCGTGCTCCGGTCCGGCAAGATGCCGCGGAGTGGCTGGGTCCGTGAGCCATGGCCGCTGGGCCTGCGCGTCCGGAGCCTGTGCTCCGCAACGGGAGAGGCCACGACAGTGAGAGGCCCGCGTACCACACACACACAAAAAAATCATATGTCTTAAAAAAAATTACTTATATGCTTGAATTAACTCACCCAGGACTATAGAAGGGGATACATACCTAGAATTTGCTGCAGAGAATGACTGTTTCCTTTAAAAACTTTTTGATAAAGGAAACAAAACACTATTTGTAGAAAATCTAGAAGAGGGTGAAGAAGAAAATAAAAACCACTGGCAACCCACAGAAAACCTCAGTTAACATTTTGGGACATTTCCTGCAAGAGACAGGGTACCCATTAAGGTGGAATCTGGAACCTTTTTATAGTCTTTTGCTGATGACTTGATGCCATTTGTGGGGGACAAGGAAGGGGGGTCTGAAAGTTTGGGCTTCTTTTGTCTGGGAAATCCAGCAGAAAGGGTCATACACAATGGTAAGGCAAACATTCACCCATTGTTCATGGAGAAAAAAGTGAGGTCACCTTAATTCTGCAAGCAGATGTTGCAAACTGAGATATGAAGTGTCCTGCCATAGTGAGGATCAAGTGGTCTTTTAGCCAAACCCTTCCCTGAAGTACAAAGAGAAATTGGTTTCCTGGGAGTGTCTTGAACTCACCTGTGTGTCCCCTGCCACAGAATTATTTCAGATGGAATATTCTGTTTGTGTGGAGGGCACACACAGTCATGTGCGCCGGGGGTGGCTTGTCTGGGCCCAGCACCCCTTAGTAGCACACTGGGGGACCTAGGGACGAGAGCTGCCCACCTTGGAATAGTTGGTAGGGAAGGGCTGGCTCCAGGTACCAGGTATGGCTGATGCTACTTTGCCCTGGTGACTGGCAGTGAGCTTTTTCTCAGGTGGCCCACGTTGCCCTGGGGCCTAAGAGGCCACCTTGCATTTGCAAACACTGCAGGACAGAGCCCAGCAGCAGACTGAGCAGACCCTGGTGACAAAAACATGCACGGATCCTTGGTCTCAGCTTGTAGGAGGTGGAGTCCAGAGTTGAACCCACCATGCCAAGCTCCTTCCCGGAAAGGAAGTAGGATAAATATCCTGTAGGCGAACAATTCTGTTTTAACAAGGAAATGAGGTAATCCATCAGGTTCAAGCAGAATAAAGGGCTTAAGAAACCAAGAAATAAAAAGTTAAGAGAAGGATGTAGACTTCTTTGAGCCCGCCTGGCAAGAGGCAGAGATCAGCAGCTTGGTAATAACATCCTTAAGCCCCTAAAAGCAGAAGGGACAGCGGCATAGCTACCTGGAAGCAGAAGATAGAAGAAAATGCGATCCTGACATTTGAAGAAAATCAAGATGTCTGACTCGACCCTTCTCTAAGTCGTGTTAATTTCCTCAATGATGACATCAACTAAGGGAAACAGGAGGGAAAACGGCCAGGTTGGGAGAGGGGTGGGAAGAGCAGAGAGCTGAGGAGAAAGCTGGTCTGGTCCAATTTCCCAATCGTCCATAGATAAGGAAAACCAAGGCCCAGAGAAGGGATGTAACTTTCCCCACACAACCAGACTCAGTGGCTAAGAAAGACTCTTGACGCCCAGTCTAGTGTTCTCCAGCCCTGCCCTTCAGAAGTGATCCAAGGCCAAAAAGGGAGGAGGAGATTAAAGTCCTGGCAGAACAGAGCGAAGTTACACACCCAAAAAGAATCACTCCCACCAGGCTCCATCACTTCTCAGCCTTGGAAAATCACTGAATTTTTTTTTTTTTTTTTGGCTGCGCCATGTGGCATGCAGGCTCTTAGTTCCCCCACCAGGTATCGAATCCATGCCCCTGCACTGGGAGCACAGAGTCTTAACCACTGGACCACCAAGAAACTCCCCCATTGAATGTTTTTGAGCTTCAATGTCTTCATCTATGAAATGAATCAGGAGGCTGGCAATACGGTAGGTATTTAACGGGGAGTTCTTTCACTGCTCTCTGGACCATTCAGGGCTGGAGAGACACTGCTGGAAGGAGCTAGTATAAAGGGAGGCGTTAACAACCTCCCCGCCCCTGACCTTCCTTGGGCTGGTCAGAGTACAGGATAGCATCCAGTGGTATAACCGAGTTGTGAACAGGCCCAGCACTACTCCCTGTCCAGGCACCCCTTACCTCAGCTTGGCAAGCCTGTGATGTCAACAAAGACCATGTATTCAGTACAGGGCCCCCTATCTCCATGATGAACTGTCCAGAGTCCCAGCCACAAGGCCAGGGGTGTTAAGCATGCATGATGCCCAGGTGGCCTCCAGACGGTATGTCATGGGGAGACGGTGAGTGCAGACAACGGCAGCGGGTGTGCTCTGGACGAGTCACCCCACAGCTTGCAACCTGGGCCGGAAGGAGGCCTTCCTATAGGCTCAACTTGACTGGCCACTGTGAGATGGGCTGGGGCCACCTGGGTCACCTTCAGGTCACTGTCCAACTCCACGCCTAACAGGAAATCCAAGGGCTGGAGGGCGACAACCACTCACCCCATGGCCTTCTCACGTCACACGGAGACCCTTCCACACCGCCTCATTCCTGGCCTCCCCATCCTAAAGTAAGAATTTGAGAGCCAGGGGAACTTCTGGCTGAAATCTGAGGTAGAAATAGGGGCAAGAAGCTCTGAGGAAAGCCCAAAGTCTGTGGAGAGACTAGAAGGCGGCAAGTTGGAGGCCCAGTTGCGCCTCACTTCACGACAACGGGAGGTGTGGACACTTAACTCTGTCTACTCCTGGGCCCCTGAAGCTCAGAGTCTGCACGTCCCACCTGAGCTGGTATGTCCAGGGTTTGAGCGCACGCCCAAAGACACCCTCCCCATCTTCTTCTCTCCAAGGGGCAGCCCAGCCTTCTGCCCCGCCCAAGCCCTGTGCCAGGGAAATTTCCCCACCCCCAGGCACCATTCCAGGTCTAAACAGACCCCACTTCCCCAACCCTTAGTTACCTTCTAGGGTGACTCCAGCCAGTGGCCCTGGTGGAGGGAGCTGCCTCACAAGGGAGCCTGGAGCAGAGTCCAGGGCCCTGGAGTCCTGCACCCCGGTGCCCACGCAGTCTCCACCTGCCTGTCCATCCCTGAGTCCTCCCACAGAATGAGCTGAGTCAGGGGCAGGGAGGGGCCTCCACGTTTTATTAGGGATACGGCAGAAGCAGAGGCTGGAAGCAGAGCAGCCGCGTTTTTTAACAACAGATAAATTAACCGCAGTGCGGGGATGGGGGGAAGGGGCGCGGGCGGGTGGAGACTGGGCCAGGTGCTTTAATATAAAAAAAAAACAACAACAAAAAAGACAACAAATGGGCCCCAAAGACATGGGGCAGGAGAGGGCAGCACCATCCAGACAGCGGGGAGGGCCAGGGCAGACAGAGAGAAGGCAACTTGACCCCTCGCCCCTGAACTCCACCAGCACGGGGCTTCTGAGGCAGGGGAGCTGCCAGGGTGGGTGGAGATGGCACGGCTGGTGGGCAGGAAGCCCAGCACCACAAGATGGCTCAGCCTGAAGTGGGAGCTGGGGGCCGGGACACAGCGGCCTCGAACCCCCAGTCCCGCAGAGGAAGAGCCTTACTCTGGGTGAGAGAAGGGACCAAGGGTGGGGTCTCTCCCTGAGCTGAGAGCGGTCATCTCCTCCACAGCAGCGGCGGGCAGTGGGGTGTGCCGGGGACCCCCTTCACCTTCTTGTCCATCTACCTCCTTGGTCCCTTCAGGGAGGGGCCCCACGGGCCCCGAGGGGGCGGGGCGTGAGGCGAGCCGACGCCAGAGCGGGGCGTGGCCGCTGCAACCGCTCAGCCCTGACTCCCGCAGGAGGACAGCGAGTCATAGAGTGAGTCACTGAGAGACTCTGAGGTCTCCAGCCCCGGGGGGCCCCCACTGGCCACTCTCCCTTCCTCGCCCACGTCCGATGTGCTGGGGGTGCGGCTCCCCCCAAACGCTGGGCCCTGGGGCGCAGGAGCTGGGCGGCTGGGCTCCAGGCTCCGCTTTCCGTCCACGTCCACGGGCAGGGCCTGGGGAAGGAGGGAAGGCTCGGGAGGAAGCTCCTCTCACCCCTCCCCGCCTGAGAGGCTCTGCCCACCTGACGGGGGCGCTGCAGAGGAAGCAGGCTGGAGGCGCGACTGAGCACAGTCCTACAGTCCCACCAAGGTTCCGGAAGGGAGAGAAGCGCTTTCCCCAAGAGGGGTGTGAGAAGGTGGGGGTGGGGGGTGGGCTGCCCACTCAGTCCTCCTCCCGGACAGGGCTGTACCTCACCCCATGTCGTTCCCTCCTGCCCTCCAGTGCTGTTCCCTTTTCCCCTTCGGCCATGCTCACCATGGGGGTCCTGGGCAGCCCCTCCAGTTGTCGGGGTGGGCATAGGAAAGGGTCAGAGGAGCCGCTGGCTGCCCTCGCGTTGGGGAAGGTCCAGTTCTTGGCCAGCTGGACAGGAGCAGGAGGGCCTGGGTCTTCACAAGGATCTATCCGGGGACAAGGGGAAGGTGGGTGGTGGGTGGAGCTCCCAGAGAGGCCCACCCCCCTGCCCAGGCACTCACCGTGGGGACAGGTCTGATGGCCCCGGTGGCCCGGAGCAGCGGTGAGCAGGGCGGGGAAGGCCGGCATGCTGGGGTGCCGCCCGCTCACCAGCAGCTCCTCTATGCCAGGCACCTCACGCTCCAGTGTGTGGGCACGGCGGGGGACTTTGGTAAGGGGTGGGGGCCGAGCTGGGGGCACCCCGGCCGGGGGCTCCAGCCGTGGCGGCTTGGTCTTGGGAAGATTCTTACTGGGGGTCCCACTGCTGCCATGGTCTGGGGGCGGGAAGGTCCCAATGCCACTGTCCAGAGTTCGAGTCAAAGAGCCACAGGCTGGGGAGGGGAGGGGAAGTCAGGGATGTGAAGCTGCAGGCGGCTCAGCCCCTCTGCTTTCTTCTGGCTTTCTGCCCCTGCCCAGGTTCCACCCTTGGTCTGGGCCCCTCCTGGCCCCACCGGCTCAGTCATCCCTGCCTGCCCTGCCCCACCTCCCCTAGTCCTGGGGAAGAGGGCAGGGCAGGTACCCTATTAGGCAGGGAGGGATTTATTCCTGTGCAGCCCCAGTGCCCACTGATGCTTGGCACCAAGATGCTATAGGGCCTGACACCTGCCGTGGTGACAGGAAGGAGTAAAGCAAGCAGGGGGTAAGGGGCAGGTCCCAGCCTTGGCCCTTGACCCTGCTGACCTGTGAAATGTGAGGTGGGCACTGGCTCAGCCAGACTGTCCTCTGAGGGCATCTCTTCCCGCCTCCCCGGCTCGCTGCTTGGCTGTACAGAGTACAGGAGACCTCAGAGCCCATTCCTCCTCCACCCTAATCCCCTCCATCAGGATCCTTGGAGTATGGGTCTGAGAGTCCTGGCAACCTGCCAGCCCTCAGGAGGCCCTCTCCTCTCCCCATTCTCCTCGGAGACCAGAAAGGCATCCAGCAGCTTCCAGGCCCCAGGGAAGGGGAGCCCTCCAGGCGGTAAGAGACCTGGCAGGGCCACAGAGCCAGGCCCTCCACCCAGCCCGCGCCCCAGGAACTTACCTTCCCAGGAGGTTTTCCGCAGCCCTGAAGAGGGCCCACCAGGCCATTTCGGGGCCCACAGGCCGGCCAGGGGTTCTTGGGGTCAGAGGACACTGGCTGGAAATCGCCATACTCAGGTTTGGGCTCCCGCCAGCTCTTGGGGGGCAGCTCCTTGCCATCCACCCTAGGGGAGGCAGTGCAGATTGCTGTGAGGGAGGCCTGAGCCCACTCACACATTCTGGCCTCCCTCCCTCCAATGGTGCTGGGCCTAGTGACGCACCCACTGCTCCCTGCCCCTGGGGAAGAGGACATATCCCTGGTGGCTTCCCACATCAACCTCTCCTGACACCAGCAACAGGCCAAGACCCCAGGTAAAACTCCAGAGGATCAGCAGGGGCAGGGAATATGGGAGAACTCCCCCAAAGCTACCCAGGGTCAAGCCTAGAGACCTCTCCGACAATGTCTGCCGGTAGAGAGCAGACTCGGTCACATACTGGTCCACATGTGACACACCCTGCCTACCCCAGCTGACTTTGAGCGCACTTGCTGTCCAAACCACACCCTACCTGGAGCCCGATTCCTGAGGACATTCTGCCTTACCTGGCCCAGACACAGCAACCCCAAGATGGGGTAGCCCCTTCTCTAAACCACAGCTCCTTTTGCTGAGTCTGTGGCAGGTGCCAAAGGGCAAGATGGGAAGGGAGCCCTCCTTTTTCTACAGGATAGAAAACCCCGGAGGGAGAAGACCTGCATCAGCCCAGTTAGGTACCAGCACTCCCTTAACTACTGCAATGCTGCACCTCAGACAGGCTGCCTCACCTGACTCAAGACAGTCCAAGAAAATGTGGACTGTTAACTCTTCTTAAATGAGAAACTGGGTCTCAGCAAGTTGAATATCAGCCAGCCATAGAGGAGGTGAGCTGGGACACAAACCCCTGGCCCCTTGTTCGAGGCCCCAGTCTCTCCTCTGGGCCAGGCCGTTAACCCTCAAGATGCTTTGGTGCCATTTCATTTGACCTCCTACATCCTTTGACCTCTGGGAAGCCCTAGTTCCTGGGAAAGGCAGTCCCAACCCCAGGGATGCCCGTGTAGGGACCTGCCAGCTGGTCCCAGGCTCTCACCTGTTGAGCAGCTGCTGCATGAAAGTGTCCGCACCCTGGTACATGCCGGCCAGCTGGCCCTGCACCTGCCCCAGGCCTGCACCGGGCCCTGGCGCTGGTCCCCCGGGCCGTGGCCGGGCCCTGCTGCTCAGGTAGGCCTTCTCCTCCTCCAGTGCCCGGCGCAGGTCTTCTGCCTTGGCCATCAGCTTGGAGATGTTGAGGCTCTCGGCCTCCAGCTTCCGGGCTTCCATCTTGACCTCCTTCCGGAGCGGGGAGCCCCCGCCAGCCCCTTCCTTGCCCTTGGCGGCCTCTGTGCGGCGGTTCAGCGCTGGCAGCTTGCTCTTCTTAAGGCCGAACCAGCTGGCGATGCTGCTAGCGTTGCGGTGCTTGGCCTCGGTGCCGGGGGCCCGCTCCTGGCCCTGGAGCCGCAGCATGTTCTCCTCGATGCCCTTCATCACCTTCTCCTCAATGGCCGAGTGTGGGGCCCGCCCCTCAGGGCCTGGGCCTGGGTCGGCAGGGCCAGGTGCTGGGGGTGTGGGCTGGGCCGTAGTGCCGCTGCAGTCTGCCCAGGGTGGGCCCTTCCCCTTGTCAGGTTTGGGGGGCTCCTTGGTGGCTGGTGGGGCCACAGGTCGGGGCACCACCTTGGTGGGCGACTTAGAAGGCAGCTTTGTCGGGCTGCCATGGGGACTCTTATTGGGCTTGCCGAGGCTGGGGGTTGAGGTTGGCACTTTGGCAGGGGTGCGGGGTACCTGGGGGCACAGGGCCCCTGCCAGCCGGCTCTTGGCCAGCTCCACTTTGGTGAGGCAGCTCCTTGGTGAGACAGGCTCCAGGTCCACCCGGGCCCCCATGGAGTGGGAAGAGTAGACTCGGGACCCAGGGTCCCCCAGGAGCCCAGATTCCTGTTGCTTCAGGCTGCTTGTGCCTAAGGCCACGGCCCCCCGCAGGGCCCCCTTGGCTTCTGGCTGCTCAGGGGGCCTGGAGGCAGAGGGCGCTGTGTCTCCAGTGCTCTCCCCTGACTTCCCTCCTCCCCGGGCCTTCTCGGTGCCAGGCCTAGCTGGCACCCCATTCTTTTCTGGGCCCTGGGGCCCCTCGGGGCCAGTCTTCAGTTTCCCCAGGGCTGCTAGTCTGTCCCGCAGAGGTGTGTAGCCAGGATCCCCAGGTCGCCGGCCTGGCCCCTGACCAGGTTTCTTGGACGAGCTGCCGGGGGTCCTGCGGCCAGGGTGGGGAGACTCCGAGCCTGCCTTGTCCAAACTCTTCTCCTGGGCACTCTCATAGGGGCAGGATTCTGGGTGGCAAGGGCTGGAGGGGACTCCAGGGCTTCTGAGGACCTCAGGGGCCCGTGGCACCTCCAGAGTTAGTTGTGGGTAGGTGGGCACCTGCAGCGGAGATGGAGGTGGCTCTGGGGAAGGCCCCCTAAAGGTGCTCCGGGAAAGGTCCAGAATGTTCTCGTAGCAAGGAGACACCACTGGTCCCGGGGAAAGCGTAGTGGACAAGGCTGGCTGGGGAGGTCTGAGCTGTGCAGAATCTGGGGTTGTGGGGCAGGGTGACGGGCTGGTGGGCAGACCCTGCACCCCCTCTGGGGACAGCTCTCCTCCGCCCAGACCCCTGCGGGCCGGCAGCGGGGAGGGGCTGCCGTCTGAGCCACTGTTCCGACAGGGGATTCGGGAGTTCCGGGGGAGCTGGGGGCTGAGCTGGGGGCCCCCTGGGCTGGGTACCTTCTCTGAGGCTGGAGGCAGCTTTAGAAACTTGAGACCTCTGGCTGGAGAGGGCAGAAGGGGTCCTTGGGCTTCCCCGGGAGAAGGGGAGCCAATTTGGAGCTTGCTTTTCACCTGAGATGAGGAGTGGGGGTGGCCAGACCGTGAGCCCAGGGGGGCGTCCCCTGCACCCATGAACACGCTGAGGAAGGGGAGGGGCCCCTGGCCCTCTGAGGTAGCACCAAAGCCCGGCCTGTGGGCCTCCGGGGTACCCCCTCCCCAAGCTGACTTGGGGAGGCCTTTGGACTTGGACAGCTGTTGGGGCCCCTGGTCTGGGGAGGATGGCTGCCTGGGACCCGGCTGTTCCCCGCCGAGTGGGCAAGCAGCCCCGGCCAAGAAGGCCTGTAGGTAAGACTCTGTGTCCTCAAGGAGCTGGCCCAGGTTCAACCGTTTGCGGGCCAGGGCCCCGAGCAGGGTGTCAGGGCTGGGTGCCTCGTTGGGGTCACCTGCCTCATCAGAAGAGGAGGAGGAGCTGCTGCCTGGGGCGCAGGGTGGCCCGGAACCGGTGCCCTGGGCCTGTGGGGAGCCCCTACTAGGGCCCCAGGGCCGCCCAGCACTCTCTTCCTCCCCTGGGGCCCCTAAGAGGCGCTCCCAGTGCAGCAGGCCTCCCAGGCTACCAGGACCTAGTAGCAGGTAGGGGGCCCAGGGAGAGGGTTCAGGCTGAGGTGGGCCACATAGCTCGCCATTGATGGGCTCTGGGGAGCCGGAACCCTCGCCTGGAGGCGGCCAGGGGGTGGCAGGTGAGCACAGAAGCAAGGGGTCAGTCTCTTCCAGGGCTCTCAGCACCTCCAGGATCTGGGCTTTCTTTCGAAGGAACGGGGATAGGGCCTCCAGCGCTGGGGGTGGGGCGGCCGGGGGTCCTGGGCCTCCTGGCCGCAGCTGCTGCTCCCAACACACCTTGGGGGAGAAATGGCATGAGGAGGAGACTGTGTGCAGGCCGGGGACCCGAGCTGGCATAACTGAGTATGCCAGGAACAGAGCTGGCCTGGTTTGTCTGTGTCCCCAAAAAGGAACTGATAGCTTCTGGGATATGCTGGAAAGCTTCCTCAGGAGTCTCTGAGTCTGGGTTACCCCAACTGTCCTTCCTGGCACACCTGGGGTTGGGTGGGCACCCATCTCCCTTTCTGGTTATCTCAGCACCACTTGCTACCAGTATTTGTGGGTCAACAGGGCTGACCACCTACAACCCTGGTATCTATGTTTGCCCCAGGGGAGGGAGGCCTGTCCATTTCTCAGGCTCCAGAAAGAACACAGACTCAAGAAAGGGATGTGATGTGGCCAAGTCCTAAGTCAGTTGCTGCAGGCAAGCCCGGGCCTCCTCAGGTCAGGCAGCTGTCCTGCTGAGCTGATCCCCGTGGAGAAGCAGACTGGGAATGACTCCATTGCAAACCCTTTCCTGCTTCTCCCAGGCCCCTTCTTAGGCCCCGTCTAATCTGGTACAGTGGTTAACTACATGGGCTCTAGAGCCAGATTGTAGGGGTTCAAGACCTAGGTCTACTGCTTAACCAGTTATATGACTTTCAGCAAGTTATTTAATCTCTAAGCTTCATTGTATCACCTGTAAAATAGGATGGTGATTATGTTTAATCTCACAAAATAAGATGAATGAAACCAGATATGCAAAAGAATGAATGAGTAATAGTTCTGCACTGGGATAAGTAAATATGTATATGATTATAAATTTATGCCAAAAATTACCAAAAAAAGAATATAAATGAGATCCGGGTGTCCAGCACAGTGCCTGGCACAGACTAAGAGCTCAGGAAGTATTAACTGTGGGTCTGACTGCTGCACTATAACGCCTTTGCTCACGAGACCAGTGGCTGGGGGTGGGGATCTGTTTTTCTTGGTACGAGGCTGACAGCTGAGGGCTCACACCCAGCCTGGACAAGAATCTGTGTGCCCGGAAGCAGCCCTTCCCCTGGGACTCATTAGGAAACAGCCGTGAAGCACCGGCTGACGAGCCCGGAGCCAGTGGAGCCACAGACCACAGTGCCCAGCGCTCCTACCTCTCTCTGCCCAGCACAGCGCCCCAGAGGCAGCGAGGTGGCCGGTCCCTCAGCGGAGCTCAGGGAGGGAGAGGCTGGTGGCTCTGAAGGCAGCTGGAGTGGGGCGAGTGGGATCTGTAGGGGAGAGGCGAGGTTAGCACAGGTGCTGTCCGTCCCAGGTCCCTACTCCCACAGGAAGCTATGGCTTCCCATCCAGGGGCAGGGAAACATTCTTCCAAGTCTGTTCCTTGGGTGACATCTCCCGGCCCAAGGTGTGGCTCTCACCACTTGGTCAGAGGAGCCTCGGGAGACCACAGCACAGGTAGATTGAAGATGTGCAAGCCCAGGTGGCCGGGAGGTGGGACAGGGTAGGGAGATCTGGAGAAAGAGGAGTGCCCCTGGGCCAGCAGGCAGTGGCAGGCCTAACCCAGGTGTCCAGCGAGCCTCCAGGACCCTCTGCTTTTCTGAGGGTCCTCCTCCCTGATTACAGAGAGGGTGAGCCTCGAGGCCCCTTCTTGTTCTGACTACCCGTGACCCAGCATCCACGGGGTTGGCTGAGACTAAGGGAAGAGGCATTTGTTACTGGGTCCTGGAAAAGAGATGGTGGGAGTTATCACTTCTGTCTCCCCTGAATGGCCTCATGTGAAATCTCTGCTCTGAGGATTACAAAAGTAGTATTGTTTTTGGCTGCACCACACGGCATGTGGGATCTTAGTTCCCCAACCAGGGATCAATCCTACGCCCCCTGCAGTGGAAGAGTGGAGTCCTAACCACTGGACCACCAGGGAATTCCCACAAAAGTAGTACTTAATCATGGATCACTTCTCTCTCATTCCCCTTCTGCTAGGCATGTCGACTAGATACAAGTCAGCTTTAACTCTCCCCGTCTCATTCTCCACGGCTGTTAAATCCTGTCTCTGCGGTGTCTCTGCCTCCCCTCCAGCCTGACCAGCTGCAGCCTCTCCTGCGGCCCACGATCCTCACACCTCTAGCCTGCTCAGCATTTCAGTCTCTCTGACCTGGCTGGGTGGCTTTTCAATCTCCTGTGTACCAGGCAGCCTAAAGCATCTTTTTCTTCTTTGTCTAAAGCGTCTCTGTACTCATAGCCTCCTCTGCCTGCCCACTGCCTCCAGAGACAAGTCTGAAGCCCTCTGCCGGCATTCCGGCCGGGCCTGCTGGTTCTTCCCTGACACCATCCCCAGCTCTCTCTCTCACTCACTCTTTACACATCCTTTGCTCAAGTCCAGCTAAACAACTCTCGGCTCCCTACGATTCCCTGCTCTGTTCCTTCCACAGGAAACCCCTTCTCCCAGACCCCTACTGCAGTCTTTTAAAATCTCCCATCCATCAGGGCCCAGGTCTGACGTCACCTCCTTCAAGGAACCCTCCCCAGCCCATCTCTGATGGCCTCTCTGCCCCTTGGGCTCTTGGTCAGCAGTGTCACACTCTGTAGCCCTGCCTTAGTGTCCAGCAGCCCCAGCTCTCAGCGGTTACGTTCGCTCTGCACAGGCCACAGCTCTGTCCAATTCTGTTGGCAAAGGCACTGCTCACAGTAAGAGCTTAATTAGCATTTGCTCAATGGAGCCTCCATCCTAGCGAAGCACAACTTGGAAATAACATTAATAATGACAACTAGCCACCAGTCATTGACTATGTACTACGGGCCAAGCACTAGATATTATCTCATTTAATCCTCACAACAACCTGCAATAGAGGTATTTTTATCCCCATTTATAAGGGAAAAAACCTGTGGTTTGTGTGGTTAAATAATTTACCCAAGGTCGCACAGCTAAGAATTAGATAAGTTAGGGACCCAACCCAAGTTCATCTGAGGCCAAGGTTCGTGCTCTTTCCATTATGTCATGTTACTTCTGGGAAAGATCAATCTATGGTCCCAAACCCCAAAATTCATTTTAAAATTCCCAATTCAAATCCCAGAATTCATTTAAGTAAAAAACAAATGATTTCAGGATGGTCTACACCTCTGTTATCATCAGTCACTGAGAAGGGTATGGACAACAGGGTAAACTTGGCTGGTGTGGGTCAGGTCTCTGGGGATTCCTGGGTCAACCCTACAGTAGGGACAGACCCAAGGCAGGGGGAGCTGCAGAGTCACTGCCGCTGATTCACCCAGGTCTGCACCGGCCTGGTGAGACAGGGGCTGTGGAAAGGCCATGGTGGTGAGACGCTTTCTCTGCCAGGCGTCAGGTTTCCCAGAGAGCTGAGGGCATCCTGCTCAGGATCTGGGGGCCAAGAGCTGCCTGGTTTGCATCACAGACACACAAATTCAGACATACACACAAGGCGTTTCTCTCCTTGTCAAGGTCGGGGTGGGTTGGCGGTGTGCTGGTTGACCTCAGAACCCACCGTTCACCTCAGGTACCTGGAGCCGCTCCTGACCCACCCAGGTCTCACCCCATCCTTGGGGCTTCCTGACAGAGTGGACCCCAAGTGACATCTTAACTGAGCCCAGGACTTATTCCCAGTAGCCTCCTGCTTCTCCTGGGTAAGGCAGGTTTCAGGGCTAGAAGCAGGGACAGCGTCTGCAGCCATGCTTGGGTCAGTGGGTGAGCACATGCAGCTAGGCATGCAGAGAGTCATCCAGGTGAAGTGCCTTTCCTGACCTCTCTGTGACACCAAGCATTGGGTGCCTTACACCTGGCCCCACCCCTGCCCCTGGCCAAGAAGAAGGCAACGCAGTGGCCAAAGGGGCCCCTTGGGAGCTCGAAATAATGGCATTTTCAGCCTCCACCCATCTGAAGGAGGAGGAAGCAAGGATCTTTTCTGTCAACATGAAGGGATACAGTCCAGCTGGGCGGGGAGCACCTGGGAGGTGGGGGAGAGCCAAGCTTAAGGGAACTCAGGAAGTTTCTCCCTCATCTAAGGCTCAGATCTATCAGGCTAGGTCGGCCTGCCCTGGATGGCCCCAGGCCCCAGAATGGAGGGCAATGGCTGACGGCCTACTTCTGTAGGTGTCTGAGAGAAGAGAGGGTGATGATATTGACAGGGCTGGGGGGAGGCAGGAAGCCGAGATGTGAGGAAGGAAGGAGAATCTCTTGTGCCCACCTGAGGGAGGGAGCCTGCTGTGAGCTGAAGTTTCTGCTGAAACAGGGCGCTCAGCATCTGGTTCTGCCGTTCCAGGTCAAATACCCTCTTCTTCAGCTTGATGCACTCCTCCCGCAGGTCCTGCCACCCCCGGGAGGTGGAGGAAGACAAAGAGAGGATGGTGGGGACAGGGAGAGTGGTATGAGCACAGTCGCCTTCATCAGAGCAGCGGGCACTCCTGCTGGGCATGCCCTTCTCTTGCAACCTCCTTCTTTGAGGGAGCTGACCCTGCCTATGTTTATGGCTATCACATCTTCTGGGGATGGTAAATTTTCTAACGTTTACCACCCCTGGTCAGAGGTAATTCCGTTCCCTTTGGCAACTTTCACAATCCTGGAGCCAATCCCCTGCCCCTTAGAAAGCACACGTCAAAGAAGGGCCCATATAAGGCAGAGGAAGACCTGGGGGTCAGAGTGGCCCACATGTCAAGAAATTACCCACACTACTTGAGTAAATATTTAGATGTCACCTTATGCTTACAACATCAACATTGCTATCAGGGCCATCGAAACCTGGAGAAACTAGCTGGGGCCAGGATAACAGAAGGATTCAAGCCCAAATCAAAGTTACCATAGCTCAGAGACTTGGCCTTACCTAGCCAAGTATGGACTGTCCAAGACAGAGAAAGGGGACTTCACTGGAGGGCCAAGACGCCATTTCCACCCTCCTCTATTCCCTATCTAAACAGGTACAGGGGTCCACAGGAAGGACCTCCCCTGCTGTACCCAGGGCCTCCTCCCAGGGCATCTGGGCTCAGGGCAGAGGGTGAGAAAGTCTCTTGTGGCCTTTTACCTTTTGGTTCAGCAGCGCCTGCACCACATGGTTGGCAACCTGGGGACAGAAAGGCAGAGCTGAGGAAGAGCTGTCAGCCAACCCAGCCTCTGCCTGGAATTGACAAGCTATCCACCCTGTGGGGAGCATCAGTTCCACAGACCTCGTCCAGACAGCGCTCGTAGGTCTCCCGCTGGTTTTCATTGGCCTGGGCGAGTGCCGAGTTCTCTGCCTGCAGGAAGGAAGAGGAGGGCAAATAGGAAGCTAAGGGATCATTCTTCCCCCGGGCAAGTCCCTCTTGGGGAAGGGGAGGCAAGGAGCCTACTAGCTCTACCCCTGCCCCAGCTCTTGGCTCTGGTCTGATTCTGCCAGGGGGAGGCCTGCAGACCCAGGGCATGAAGAAGGCAGAGCTGAGATGGCTGGTTTTTTGTTACCCCAACTTCAGTCAGTGAGGCTGCAAGGGCTGGGGAGACAGAGCAACCAGGAGGACCGAAGGTGGGAGGTGCCAAAAGTAACCCTTATTTCCCTGGGGAGAGGGCAGAGGAGCCTGGAGGGAGGAGGGCAGGGTCTTAGGAATGTAGTAAAAGGCCTAGTTTAAGGATCCATGTCTTTGTCCCTCAACTCCTGAGACCTTTCTGTGGCCTCTGCGGCCACCCCTTTCCTAGAGCAGGGGCATGAAAGGGGAGAAGAGGGGTAAAGAAGGGAGACATTCTGGGGGTTAGGATGGCCCCCCCCCTTGCGCATGCCTCTTGTCCTGTGCTGGCACGCAGGCTGCAAAGAGCAAGGAAAGGGGTTCTCAGAGGGGCTCTGCTAAAGAAACGTTCAGCTCTGCTCCAGCCTGGCAAAGCAGGCTGAGAGGAAGGCCCCCCGCACCCCAGAACCCACCCAAGCTCCCCAGGGCTCTGGCCAGCACTGCTGCCCCCTGCCGCCCCGTGCCCCACCTCCAGCTCCCGCAGCCGGTGCAGGAGCTCCTGGCAGGTGCCCGGCTCCATGCTGCCCTCACCACCCTCTCCTGGCTTCGGGTTTCCAGGGCTCCCGGCCGGCTGGTCCATGGCCTCCGACATCAGGCCCTGGGGACAAGTGAGAGAAGCCCCGCAGGCTACTCCAGGGCATGGGGAGATGAGCGGAGGCGGAGGAGGACAGAGATGAAAGTTGTCAGTATTCTCGGAGTTTGGATCAGTGTGACCCCCGTGCCACGGACACTGTAACAACTCAGGGCCAGGCTAAGACTCCTGCTCACGGGACAGATACATAGACACACTCTTCCCATCTCAAGAACAGAGACCATTGTTTTATAAAACCCATAATTGCTCTCGCCCTCTCACAGGTCACACAGACACTGGCCAGGAGCCAAGAAACCTGAATTCTCTGCTGACGCTGGCCTCAGACTGGCGCCCGGTATCCTCTCGGGCAGAGTGGGAGGTGGCCTGCAGGTCTCCAAGACTCCCTGCTTGCAGCGAGGCCCCGGGGGACCAGCCTCTGTGCATGCTGGGCCCTCCGCAGGGGTCTCTTGACACCTACCCCCCTACTGCTTGGCCAGCTCCTTCCTATTCATTCTCCAGGGCCCCCACTCCAAGGCCGGGTCAGGTACTGCTCCCGCACGGCTCTGTGACTGTCCCCCAAGACTCTGCGAGGGCAGGGTCACTGTCTTCACTTCACTGTCCACACTCACACTTCTTGGTGTGATACGTGGCGTATAAGAGACAGACTGACAGCTGTACAGACTAGTGTGTCAATGCCCGAGCACACAGAGCCAGGGTTCTGACCTGTATCGCATTATGTGATCCCCGCCCCCCGCCCCCAAACTGTTGCCATAGTGACTGGCTTTACCTGATTAGCCCTCACCTTCCATCTGAGTTTCAATTTCTCCGCTAGAGGAAAGTACTCATTTCCTTCCTCTGCACAAATATTGCAGAAATTTCCAGTAGATGGGAAACCCTTCCTAACATAAAAGGTGGGAGGCCCCCAGTCTACTACCAACTACTTGCCTCCCTGACCCACTGCAGCTCCCACAAAAGGGGCTTAGCACTTTTGGACCAAGGAAGAGAGGAGCCCTCGGCAGCTATCAGGCATCTGAATGCTCTTCCCTCCCGTGGGGCACAGGGGCTGCCTCTCCCACCCCAGCCCTCCTCCTCCAGTCCCCACCACCAGCGCGCACAGGCTCCACAGCCTCTCACCTGTCTCTGCCTTCTCACCCAGGCTGGCACACTCATGCAAGCAGCCAGAATGGTCACCTTGCCTGTGGAGACATAGAGGGAGACGATGTCAGCCATGCATTTATTGGGTTCCTGCGGCCTGGCATCCCGGGCCATAGGGATAAACAAGCTAGAGAAAGCCCTGCCTTTATGAGGCTCTCATTCTGTTGGGGGAGGCAGGTAATACCAGATAAACCAATGAACAGACATCAGGTTCCAAGAAGGCTCTGGAGGTGACAGCAAGGCAGAGACCTGAATGAAGGCTGGATGAAATCCTGGAATGGGAAAAGCATTCCAGGCAGAGGAAAGAGCCAGTGCAAACATCCCCAGCTCTCAGCCAGAGGGGAATGAACAGCCACACAGCCCTTCCAAAATTCTTCTCTAATCCTCATAACCACAAAGGGAATTAAGTGCTATTATCAACACCTATATGTGAGATGAGGAAACTGAGGCACAAGCTATACCACATACCCAGAGTGCACCCTGTGTGCTGGCGCTTTCTCACGCATCATCAATCGCATCCGATTCTCCTACTGACCTCAGAAAAGGAGGGCAAGGCGGGGGTGCCAGCCTGGTCTGCAGCACGCTCCAGAGGCAAAGGATGCTGCCCACATCATATGGCAGGTTCACAAAGCACAGTGGACGGGCCTGGGTCCCCCCTTCCTATGCAACCTCTCTGTACACACACGTTGTACTGTGTGCTCTGTGTAGTTGGTCCCGGTGCTCTCAGAGCTTTGCAGTTAGAGAGATCTGGGTTAGAATCTGACTCTGCAAAATCTGTTCCTCACCTGTAAAATGGGGATAAGAATACTTAGTCCAAAGGGCTGTTGGAGCATGAAGTGAGATATGTAGAGTGTCTTGCATGGACTCAATAAATGGAGGCTTTTCACGTTTTGGAGCCCACTGCTACTTCAGCGGTTCACTTGCAAGTGGACTCTGAGTCCCAGGCCCGTCACCCAGGGGGTCTGAGCAGGAGGGTCTCCTGAAGATGTGAGGTGCTGCCCCTCTGCCCTGCCCTCAGGGGCCTCCTCCTCTTCAACCCCGTCCCTGCCAGCCCTCCAGCTGCAGGGCCAGCCCAGTCCTCATTCTTCTCTGCCTGATACCCTAGAAAGAGAAAGGGTAACAGCAGAAAGGGAGAATGCTCCTTTCTGGGTGGGATGGGGGAGGGAGAGAGAACAAGCATGTGTGCACAATAATGGGAAGGGGGCTTCTGAAAACCAGAATAAAAGGAAAAACTGTGTAATGCTTATTTTTTAACACTCTGCCACAATCTAAAGTCCTTTGTTATTTTAACGTCATAAAAATGTATCAAGTATAACTTCATTTTGCTCGCAACATTATCATGCTTGATATATTTAGAAATGGACAGGCCTCGAAAGAAACGAAAAAAATTCAGGAAAAATCCTCCTTCCCACATACACAAATAGAGGTTAAAACCAAAAAAGGCCTCGGGTTACCTCCACCATTGGACCAGTTCCAGGCCACCCCACATCACCCATCTCTGGGCCACCATCCTCTTGCCAGGCAGAGGCTCCCACTGCTCTAGGAGAGGCCTGTCCCCACAGATCACCAGTGTCCCCTCAGCCCCCTCACCACTTAGTTCCCCAGTGGACACCTCCAGGAGTAGAGGGGCTGGGGTGGGGAGTGTAAAAAAAAAACAGGGGGATGAAGGAGGGGAGTAGGATGCACAGGGCAGTGTCTGGAGGCCAGAAAAGGGAAAGATAAAACAGTAGAAACCTCGAGTCTTTGTTTTCTTCACACAACAAAAACCAAACTAAGGGTGAAGGTGGTTTAGGAGGGTATCTTATCCTAAAAAAAATAAAATAAAATAAAAAAAAAAAAGCATCCAGCTTAGGCATGAGGCCCAGACTGCGAGGGCTGGCTGTGCAGTAGGTATATGTGGCTTTGCGTGTTGAGGAGGGCAGAGACCCAACACACCCCACAAAGCCAACTACTGCCACCCTCCTGATCTGAGCCCCTGGGGATCCCAGGGCAGGGAGGCCTGAGTCCCACTGTGACCTAGGGGAGACCCTCCAAGGGACAAGCCCCCTAAGTGCAACAACTTGGTCATGGGGGTCGGTCTCCGTATCCTGAGCAGGGCCTGGGAGAGGCTCCGGAAATGTCGGCTGAAGGCAGGCTGTGACTCAACCCCACCTTGGGGAGAAGTTTTCTGCCCTCTGCCAAAGTGGTCCAGCCAACTCAGGGCGACGGGTTTTCTCTGTGTCTGCAGGGCCACAAGCAGAGGGCAGGCAGGAAGCTGTCAGCCTGGGTTGCTGAGTCACTCGGAAGAGGCCTGCATTTAAACTTGGCGCTGGGGAGACAACGCACGCACGCTGTGAGCAGGGTGAGTTTGAGCTCAAGATTTCTATGATGAAAAGAAAACTTCCTGCATCTTTACCCTCCTCTAGGGAACATTAAGATCGAGAGAGAGAATACCACCTCTAGCTCCCAATCTGAGCCCAATTAGGAATTTGGCCCTTCAGAGTCTGGGTTTTCGACCCAAATCTCATGAGAAAAAACAAACACAAAAAAAAAAACCCAAAAAAAACTCAGGTCGGTTCCCCAGTGGCTGTCCCTGCAGGGTCAGTGGGACCCACCTCCCCAGGGCCGAGCACCCTCATCCTCCCTCAGGCCCCACAACTGCTACTCACAGCTTCTGTGCTCAGCCCACCTGGGGCCCAGGAAAAGCCCTGGCCTGGGTTTTTCAGGATGGCCCTGGTTTCAGGCATTCCTCTGGTGGTCCCACACCATATCCCAGATGGTGGATGTGGGTCTGGAACACATGGTGCTGGCCAGGATGGGTAGGGACGGAGCTGCAGTGGGTGGGAGCTCGAGCTTGAATGGGAGGCTTCTCCCGCCAGAACTGCCAGCGGGCAATCCCGCCCCGCAAAAGCCTGATTCAGAGGGAGGTGACCTCAGTGCTGAGGGGAGGGAGGGGGCGGAAGGGAGGAAGAGCAGAGCCTCTCTGGCCCTCCTTCAGAGACAGGGAAGGGGGAACAGCTGCTCAGGGGGTTTCTGGGTAACCCGGGGATGAGGTGGGTGCAGCCCTATCCCTGAGTGAATCTGGGTGACCACTATCTCTTCAGCCTAGTCAGTCATGTAAGGCCCCCCAGCCCCAAAAGATGGGACTGTCCTGGCCTTTCAGTCAGCCAGATCAAAGGAGTAGAGTCTGCAGCTCCTACCCCCTCTCCAGCCAGGGCACCAGCAAGACCCCTCCCTAAACTCAGAGTCCAGGCCTGGGAGGAAGGGGCCAGAGAGATGGCAGCAAGCCTGTCCTCCAGGCTCCCTTACCCTGGCCCTTAGCCAAGGCCTTTGGGCCCTGATGAGCCCCTCGCTCACCAGCTGTTCCCCCCCGGAGTCCTCTAGGGAAAAAAGCAAGGGGCCAGGAGGTGGGGGAGGGGTGGGCAGCTGTGGGAAGGCAGAGATGGAGCTCACTTTAATAACAGAATCATCCGTAACACAACCATTTCCCCTCTGCTCCCCCCATCCCCCAGCTGCTTTCTGAAATCCCAGTCACACCCAAAAGTCTACTTGTAAACAGCAACTTCTTCACCCACAGCAAACACTCCCTTCCAGACAAGATCAGCCCTTGCGCTGCCCTGGGGTGTGGGGAGGAAAATGAGGACTGAGGCCCCAGGGCATTCCTAGCCTGAAAGTGGCCACCTTAATCTGGCCTAAAGCATCTTTTAGCCCCAAGTATTCCAACTGGTCTCCTCCCCACTCAGGGAAAGAGGCAGACAAGAATTTCCTTTCCTCCTCCAGACAACTGGCCCCAAGACACAATAGCCCTTCTGAGAGGCAAGTGTCCATGGGGAAGGGGCCCACTGCACCCCTCCTCCAACTTCCTCTTCACAGGCACTCCAAGAACCTCCAGACCATGGTATAGGTTCTTTCAAACTGACAGTAGGACAGTCCCCTGCCTTTCCAGGCAGGGCAGGAGGAAGGGCAGCAGTGTTACAAGCTCAAAAGGCTTACAGATTTCAATACCCTTTATCTCTCCTCCCCCAGATCCTCAACGTTCCCTGTTCACAGCATAACCCGACACTAAAAGCAACTGCTGAGGGTGGGGAGAGGGAAGGGGCACAGGCAGACACAATGGGTTTATTTATAGGGGCACACACCAGGGTTTCTGTGGCCAAGAAGCCCAGGCCCCACTCCCAAAAGCCCAGCAGGCCCATCCCAGCCCGGCCAAGGGTACTGGAAAAAGCCTCAGACCAGAAGGCAGAAGGCTTATAGTCCCAACAATGCAATTTATTTGCTGTGTGACTTTAGGCAAATCACTCAGTTTCTCAAGGATAAGTTCCTTCATGCCAAGTGGAGGTTGTTCTAGAACAGTGGTTCTCAAAGTGTGGTCCAGGGACCCCGAGGCCCTTTCAAGGAATCTACAGGGTCAAAACTATTTTCACAATATCACTAAGACATTACTTACCTTTTTAACTCTCATGAGTACATAGTGGCATTTTCCAGAGACTACGTGATATGTGATAACACGACAGATTGAATACAGAAGCCGATATGAGAATCCAGCTGCCTTCTATTAAGTCAGACATGACAGATTTGCAAAAATGAAGAACAATGCCATTCTTTTCACTATTTTTTGTTTTGGAAAATATATGATTATTTTTCATAAAATATGTTAACATGGGTTTATTGTTACTTTTGAATGAATTAAATAAATGCTTAAAACTCTCAGTTCCAATTTGTATGACAGTAAATGTCAATAGGTACAATCTATATGAATCAAAGCTCTTTGAGGTCTTCAATTTTTATATTGTAGAGGGGTCCTTAGACTCAGCAGTTTGAAAAGAATCACTTTTCTTAGAACAGTGTGGTCCAGTAGACCTTTCTGTGATGATGAAAATGTTTATTCCATGCTGTTCAATATGGCAGCCACCAGCCACACATGGCTACTGAGCATTTGACATGTGGCTAGTCCAACTGAGGAACTGAATTTTAAATTTAAATAGCCATATGCAGCTGGTGGCGACTATACTGGACAGTGAAGTTAGAAGATCCCTGGGATTCCTTGACTTGAGCATTCGAGGTCAATGCTTCTTTCCAGTCTAGAGTAGGGAAGGGAAGGACAGGACTTAACACTCCTGTCCCCAGGCTTTTGCTCACGCTATTTCTCACTCTCTCTTCACCAAAGGAAGGTCATCTCAGCCACATGGGCAGTCCTGCTGGCACTCTTACCAAGGCTTAGAGTTGCTCTCTCATTCTCTGCAACGACTCACACCCTCTCCAATCGCCTCAAACTTCTGGTCTACCACCTCCCCTCGCTTCCCCAGTGGACTGAAGCCAGCAGAGGGGAAACCCCTCAAACCTCCCGCCACCACAGTCCCAGCCCCATCGGAGTCCTTTGTACTTCCTTCTCTCCTCCTGTTACAGCAGAGGGGCTGCCCTTTTCCCAGGCAAGGCCAGTTGTTCCCACCCCAGACCCTCCCCATTTATGTCTTCAGGGTCTACTTCCTGAAGGGATCTTTCCCATCTACCTTTACAACTTCTCAGCTACCTTTCATCTTAAAAATAATTTCCCCCTGACACTTCTCCAGATACTGCCCTCTTTTGCCTTTCACAGCCAAACTTCTCAAAAAAAAGCCATCCTCACTTCTCCCTCCTTCCTCAACGTGGTCCAACTTCAGCAGTAGCTACCACAATGCTAAATCTTACAATATTTTTCAGTCCCCATTGCCTTCTCAAGCACAAATGCCTCTGGTGGCACTTCCTGCTGGACTATGTTTTTTAAAGCTTTGAGACATAGTTCAACACCCACACAACTCACCCATTTAAAGTGTACAATTCAGTGGTTTGTAGTGTATTCACCGATATATACAATCATGGCCATTGTCAATTTTAGAACATTTTCATTACTCCTCAGTTACCAGCCCCTCACGCTCAAACCAAGGCAACCACTAATCTATTTTCTGTCTCTATAGATTTCCCCATTCTGGACATTTCATACGAATGGAATCATACAATAGGTGGTCTTCTGTGACTGGCTTCTTTCACTCTGCATAATGTTTCCAAGGTTCATCTCTGTTGAAGCATGCATCAGTACTACATTCCTTTTTATGGCCACATAATATTCCATTGTATGGCTGTGCCACAATTTGTTTATCCATTCAGCTATTGATGGACATTTGAACTGTTTCCACTTTTTGGCTATTATGCATAACGCTGCTCTAAGCAGTGTACACACCAGTGTACAAATTGTCTGGATGGATGTTTTCATTTCCTCTTGGGTATACACCCAGCAGTGGGATTGCTGGGTTGTATGGTGACTTTAGGTTTAACTTTCTGAGGAACTGCCAAACTGTTTCCCAAAGTGGATGCACCATTTTCCCCGACCAGGGATCGAACCCAAGCCCGAGTTCCATCAACAATATGTGAGGGCTGCAATTTCTCCACATCCTCACCACTTGTTATTGTCTGATTTTCTGATTCTAAGTCACCTTAGTAAATGTGAAGTGATTTTTTTTTTTTTTTTTTTTTTTTGGCTGTGTTGGGTCTTTGTTGTTGTGCACGGGCTTTCTCTAGTTGCGGCGAGTGGGGGCTACTCTTTGTTGCAGCGTGCGGGCTTCTCATTGCAGTGGCTTCTCCTGTTGCGGAGCATGGAAACTAGAGCGCAGGCTCAGCAGTTGTGGCACACGGGTTCAGTTGCTCCGCGGCACGTGGGATCTTCCTGGACCAGAGCTCGAACCCTTGTCCCCTGCATTGGCAGGCGGATTCTTAACCACTGCGCCACCAGGGAAGTCCTGAAGTGATTTTTATGGTTTTGATTTATATTCCTCCGATTGATGATGTTGAACATCTTTTCATTGGCTTATTGGCAATTTGTATATCTTCCCTGGAGACAAGTCTATTCAGATCCCTTTGCCCATTGTTTAGTTGGGTTATGTGTCTTTTTACTGTCAAGTTGTAAGAATTCTTTATATATTCTGAACACAGGTCCCTTACCAGATATATGATTTGCAAATGTTTTCTCCTATTCTGTGGTTGTCTTTCCTGTCTTGATAGTGACCACTTCCTCCTGGACAACGTTTCCCTTGTCTACCACTCTCTGCAGCTATCTTCCACCTCTTCTTCTGTGTTAGTTATTTGTGAGTGTATGTGTGTATACCTTAAAAAAAAACCAAACAAACAGACAGAGCAGCATGCTCTCACTGTTTTACATCACTCATTAGCAAAACAATTAAAAAAAAAAACCCACACGTGGTCCAGTGGGTAACACTCCACGCTCCCAATGCAGGGGGCCCGGGTTCAATCCCTGGTCAGGGAACTAGATCCCGCATGCATGCTGCAACTAAGAGTTCACATGCCACAACTAAGAAGTCCACATGCCGCAACTAAAAATCCCGCATGCCGCAACTAAGACCTGGTGCAGCCAAAATAAATAAATAAATATTAAAAAAAAAAACAATCCATAGACTTTATTTGGATCTTAACCAGTTTTTCCACTGATGTCCTTTCCACTGGTATTCTATCCCAAGATCCGATCCAGGATCCCACATTGTATTTAGTCACCATGACTCCTTAGTCTCCTGTGATCCATGACAGTTCCTCCGTCTTTGTTTTGGCCGCTCCAAGCGGCTTGCAGGATCTTAGTTCCCCGACCAGGGATCGAACCCAAGCCCTCTGTGGTTAAAGCACGGAGTCCTAACCACTGGACCGCCAGGGGATTCCCAGTCTTTGTCTTTTATGACCTTGACACTTTGGAAGGTAACTGGTCAGTACTTTGGAGAATATTTCCTAATATGAGTTTGTTTGATGTTTTCTCCAATGAGATTGAGGTTATGGATTTTGGGAAAGAATATCACAGAGGTGATGTGCCCTTCTCGGTGCATTCTATCAGGGGGTGTGTATACATGATGCTGAGATATCTTATTACTGGTGATGTTAACCTTGATCACTTGGTTAGGTGGCGTCTACTAGTGGGTTTCTGTACAGTAAAATGAAAACATGCTTTTTCTTTTGTTAATAATAAATATTTGGGGGGAGGGCAATACTTTGTGACCATGCAAAATCCTGCTTCTGCTTAAATTTTCACCCACTCATTTTAGGATTCATCAGTGGCTCTTGCTTGCAGCAATTACTATGGTGCCCTAACGATAATTTTCAATTTCCCTCATTCCTTGTAATTTATTAATTGGAAGTTTTCTGTAAGAAAAAGCTGTCTCTTCACTCCCATTTATTTACTTAATTACATATTTGTATGAGTATGGACTCGCGGGCATTATTTTATTCTTTGGATTTTAATCCAATATTATCATCACCACTTATTTTACTGCTTAAATTCCAGCTTCGGCCATGCTTTCAGGTTGGCTCCTGTGTCCTTTCAACATGCCTCCATTAAAAAAAACGTTTACTTATTTTTTAACATTTGCTTAGTTTCTGGCACGAGAAGATGTTCCAGGCTGATCTTGTATTTTCCCTGCTACAATCTCTTTTCCAAGGGAGCTCTACCAGAGCAGTCTTCTTTCTAAAACTGTAAATCTGATTGCGTCCTTCCTGCTTCAAATCTTCCCATGACCTCCTACTGCTTTGGGGACAGATGAAAGCCCTCAACATGGCCCTGGAAGCCCTGCCCTGGGCTGGCCGCAGAGCAACATTCTTCTGAAAAGCTGTCCTGGACTGACATGGCCCACGTTGATCTCTCTTCTTCAAGTGCCTCCTGCAGGATCAGTATTTCAAACTGTAATGCATCCTGTTCTCTAGTACTCCCTGAGAGAAGGGGCAACTTCCATGCTGTTAGAAGGGGAGCTCCCTGAGGAGGGGCCCTGCTTATATTTCCTTTCCCCCACCCCTACTTCCTGCCAGGGCACTGCTCCTGCCAAAGAGGTCCTGAACTTGGTGATCCCCTTTCATTACAGACAGAAAAGACCAGAAAGACAGGACAGGTGAGAAGGTACAGTGGACTCATCAGGTTCCCTTAAAGATCCCCAGTGAGAGCCCCCAACCCAAGTGGCTCTGAAGGTCCATATGACAAGCCACACTGAGAAGTGAGCAAGGACATTTTCAGATTTGTCCCGAACATTGATATGACCTTTTCCAAGCTCTCAACCTTCTCCCAGGTCTCAGTGATGCCCTCTGGCAAAGGGACTAATCTATTCATTCTGCAAATATTCTGGGCAGATCACTCAGTGGGAGGTACAGTGCTGGGTATTGGGAGGCAATTGAGAGATGGGTCAGTTCTTTTCAGACTTCTTGGAGCTTTCAGACTAGTAGGGGATGTAAGACATGTAGGTAAATAGCTGTGCTGTGAAGGAGGTTCCACAAGAGAAGTCTTTGGAGAACTTTAAAAATCAGGAGAGAAATATTAAGCTGGAACAGTTTTTCAGAATTTGAGCATCTAGGGAACTCAGCCTTTATAGACAGATAGGGTTTAGCTACAAGGAAAAGGGAAGGGGGTCATTCTAGGCAGCAGGAGGCAGACGTCTCTGGGTGTGTATGGAACCAGAATGACTCAGTGCAGCTGGACTGAAGGGCATTTGAAGGTGAGTGTTTCTTGGTCCCCTGGCCCATGCCAGTTACCAACTCATCTCCTATCTCCTGACCGAACAGGAGAATCAGCATCTTTTCAACATCCTGGGTGT